ACAAGGTCACTGATAACTCTTGTGGTGTGGGGGCAAAGACACCTGCCTCCTTACTGGATTCACACAGTGCTCTGGGATTTGGGAGTGAGATGTGATGCCCATGAGCTGTGGAGCTGGCAAACAGGTTTTCACGCTTCACAAGTTTGCTGTTTACTGGGACACAGCACGCAACGATTGACCATTGGTCTGACCTCAGTGACCTACAAGATTTTCATCAAGTTATAAAGGCACAGCTTTTAGGTACATGGAGGCTGAGATAAGACACAGGGCTGGCTCCGTAAAGTTAGCTTTGTCAGGCTAACCCCGTATCTTCCTTTGGAAAGGTAATTGATTTCATCAGCAAAGAGATGACTTTTTTTTTGAGAGGTTAATAAGATGCTGGATTACATCATAAGTGGTTTGTTTTTCTGGAGAAGACGCAGTATAGCCCAGCTGTTGTAGGTGGGGAGCTGGATAACGGAGAAGTGGCTGGGAGGTGTTGAACGAGTAGATAACTGCTGAGGTTTCTTAGAGGTGGTGATGGCTCCTGCTTTCATTGAGGACACTGGCACAAAAGGCAGGAGCATACTCATGGGCTTTGCTGCTGGCAGAGTGCTGGGGCTGTGGGAACACAAAGTGGGGTCAAGGGGAAGAGCTGCAGTAGCAAGAGAGTCTGTAATGCAAAGTGGGATGATTGCAATTGTGGGTGTAACGTGGCTTTTGCTGCCAGGTAGAAAATCATGTCAGTTGGAAACAGCCTGGTGGATGGAAGTGCTTGGTGCAGTGCTCGATTACGGGGTGAAAACAAGCCTCCAGGCTGATGGGGCTGTGAGAAAGGCCAGTGTGATCTTAGGCTGCAAGTCGTGGCTTTTCCAGTGTAAGTGGCGAGTTGCTCATGCTGTTACACAAGTGAGACCTCCTGGAGACTGCTCTGTGTTTTCAGTCCTTCTTACTTGAGAAAAAGGGACTTAAATAGGCCGATGAAGAAAATAAAGAGCCTTTTTCTATTAGTGTCTATCACGGTGGTCCTTGCATAGGTCACCAAGCGTAAGTGTCAGTTGTGCTGGCTCTGAAACCAGAAGCAAAATAACCGCGCTACCAGGACTCTGCCTGAGCAATTTATCTGCATCACTTCTGGGACTTGAGTTAGTATCTCTTCAAGGCACTTGAGACAATTTGCCTTGCACTTCACCGCTCGGTACAGATGCGCTGCCTGAGAAGAGCTGGCCTCGTGTAACTTATAAATGATAGCTGGGTGGGTCTGGCCCTTGCTTGTAAAGGAGGGAGGAGGAAATTCTGGGAAAGGAAAAGAGCTGCTTAAGCAAAGACAGCTTTGACACAAGAGAAAATGGATGTAAAATGCTTGAGTACGTTAAAGTAAGGAATGAGAGGAGCAGGGGAGCTCTGGTGCAGTGTTTCAGTATGAGTTGGGAGGGCAAAGCCCTAGCTAGTCCCAAGGTGGACTTTGATCCGTCTGGAGAAGGCACAGTATAACGGCAGCTGTGCGGTGCAAGGAGACCTGGACCAGCAGGACCCTCCAAATGCACAAGACGTATGAGAAGGAAGGGAGTATTTAAACAAATACAACCTCCCCTACCCCACCAAAAATGTGAGCAATCTTGTCTGTTGTTAGTGCTGCATCTCATATGGTCTGTATTAGAAGTTGGGAATGAGTCTGGGTGGATGCATACGTGGTAGGAACTTCAGGATGTGTATGGTATTGAATCTATTGCATCTTGCAGAAGAGCAACTTACCTTAATAACCGAGGAATGCCACAGGAATATGTATTTAGAGACATTTGCAGAGAGGAGGGAGTAATGCACTGGCTAATTCATACCTCAGTGCCTGATTGCAGAGACCAGGACAGGGCTGTGAGTTGTCACATCTGTATTTGGCATGAACCCAGCATCCCTGTTCATGCCAGGTTAATGAACTGAGGCAGAGGAGAAGGGAAGGTCTCAGTCTTCAGCAGCAATAGGGAGGATATAAGATTTCTAGGGCAAGCAAAACCCTGGAAGGAAATGAGGGGGAGCTAGTCAGGATGTTGAAGGACATAAAGGGAACCTTAAGTTTTAGGGGTGGAGTTTCTTTGCTTGGTTGGTTTGCTTTCCAGTGCAACCACTGCCAATTTTGCAATCACAGCTTGACTCCTTGAGTTTTCAGAATAAGATGCTTTTCTGTTTTGTTTTTAAAGTGGATTCAGGTGAACCCAGATGGTGCAAAGTTAACTATTCTTTTCAAACCAATAGGGAACCAAAGAAAATGGTTTTCCTGGTGTATCTTTGAGGTGCCTGTGAACTACGAGCCAATTTGCTCTTTCTAGGAGCAAGGTTGCAACTCCTAAGTTGAAAAATCAGAAAACAGGGGAAGAGCCATTTCTGGGAGTCCCTGAGAAGTGAAGTGTGTGTGTAGCTTAAAGGACTCAAAATCCTTTGCTGACCTGTGCACCTAATTCAGGATGATGCTATTTCCCTGTATTGTGCTCTATGTAAAGCAGCTGTTGGGTGGGGGATTATCATATACGTAAGTGTGTGTGTATGTATTTATTTCCACTGTTGCTTCTCTTGTCTCTCCCTTTATGGGTGTTGTGTGTCTGTGTTAAATAACACACCAAAGCATATCTGGCTCAGGAAGCTCATGGGCTTCATTTGGGAGGCTGGGACACAGTTTGTGGAATTGTATTTACAGTCTAGTATTATGTCACTTCTGGGGGGGGTCTTGGCCATGGAGGGCCCCCAAGACCCCTGTACCACAGTGCTGAGTTGTCAGAAAGTCATGCCTGTGCATGTCGCTGGGAACAGGGCTGGCTGTTTTCCTGCCTCTTCCAGAATGCTGCCCGCATGGCTTTGAGTGTCAGGTCAAAAATAACCTTGACTTTTTTTAGAAAACAATCAATAAAGTAAGAGCCAATCTGGCCGCCGCCTCCTTCCCAGCTGTAGTTGCTCCATAGCTCCTGGCTCAGGGCTGCTCCATCCCTTCCCGAAGGTCATTGCTTGGATGCTGTAGCTTCAGCATGCCCTGGTGGTAAACACACATCA